GTAACTACCTATGATATGAGAAGAGACAGGCAATGCCAGTAAACTTACGTCAACTTCTAGTTTGTTGTCAGTGCTGTTTTAATGTATGCATAGATATATTGGATCATTTTCACGATTTCCACTATATATGGCCTAGCTATGGGAACCATATGCAACTGACCTGTTTTTATAGCTTAATAAGAAAAATACTTGTAAAAATTATCACAAATTCAAATTTACAATAATTTGAAGTTGTCATCTCCCTTTTGTGGTGTAATAGAATTGGTGGCAAATTAAGTTAATACTCGTAGTTGACAATATAATGTATTCCTATGTAGATTTTAACATCAAACTTCAATTCCTTACAAAATCAGAGAGAATCCAATACATCGTGGACCCTCTATATTTTCTTTAGAACAACTATTCAACCTTCAATGACCTAGATAGAAAAAACTACAAGGGTATTCTAGTCATCAAGTCATTCTTAAAGATGTTACATACACAATCATCTAGGCCATTCTAATTAAGCATGAATTTTCTAGCAAGGCACACAACTAAACAATTCATTTCTAGATTATTAGAGATATACTAAAATTCCTCTGAGCATAAATGATTCTTCACTTGGAAAACTGAAGAAATTTAACTAAAAATTGCTTTAGTAACGACAAATAAACAATGTAGAAGTTTATTTAGTTATTGAACCAATCACCAACATGATCAATTATCATAATATACTTTGTTATTAATTAAATTATTTTTCATTTATTAATGAGGCAATTGGCAAATCAAGAGAGGAGTTTAATGCCTCGTAAAGATGTATAATTGTCCCTTGAATAGCAATTTATGAATATTAAAATTCAAGTAAGTCTAAGAGAGATTGGATCGTCATGATAAAAGGATTCTTGTTGTCTATATATGCCACCCATATCATACAGCTCCAATTTGCTTTTTTGATAGTGCTAGCTTTTATTCATTATCAAAAAAACACCCACACAACTCAATATGACATATATCTGGCCCTTTTGCATTTTGTGATTATTGTTGTTGTTGAATTATATGGATGCTAGACACTATGTTAGTTGATTGTTTCTTTTAAAATTGCAAGGGACTATGTATTCAAACTGAGTAGGTTTAAACTTTAAAGTATTGAACCTAAAAAGTTAGTATCGAATAAAAATCATCCTAGATTTTTTAACATAAGAAATTTACATGCAAAATGAAGAAATTAAGGTTTTCATTCATTGAGGAGTCACTTTTGGGAATTCGAGTAAAGGATATAGTCATAACTCATTAGTGCATTCACATTCCTATAGAAAAGTTTCAATATCTAAAGATTGAGATTTTGATTATGAAACTAGGAAATGTTTCTCTAAGTCTCTAACCACGAACATGAAATAATTGATAAGCATTGAGCCTCAAATCTTATACTCGTTAGGTGATAGTTCAATTTATAATCCATTAAAAATAATTGTGTATGGTAAATTTTTAACTTGATATCTAAATTTAATAATTTCATTTATGGACGTTAATATTTTGCTTAGCCACACACAAAATTTACCAATAATTTGATTTTTCATATCGTGGCTTTAATTTTTTGGTGTAATTTATTTTGAATTATCAAGCACAGCAATATTTTGTGGCCAATATAAAAGTGATTTTACCTATAAGAAAGAAAAAAAATAGAAACCGGTAGAAAACAGCAAAATCAATGATATGTACTAACTTGCTGCTCCTTCGAAGGGTAACCGACCCCTATCATGCATGTGCAATGAATAGACCTCCGACATTGGAGAGGCCAACACAAATATGATATCCTTGCCCATTTCAAGTCATATATAACACCTTCCAATTCTATCCAATGTATTAAAATAATAGAGGACCTTATAAATAGTAGAAGATTGAGCAAACTAAATTGAGACGGATGGAGGATTAAAATGTTACAATTTTATCCAATGTATTTGTCAAAAACTAAATCGGATTCGGAGATCGAAATTTTACATTTCAGTAGACCTATGGAATTTGTTATATACACCAGTATGCACCGTACACTCAATTAACCCAAGGTTAGTTTTAGCTCTTCATTTGATGATTAAATGAAAAACAATCATCAAAATGAGAGCAAAATACTCATGGTATACAATGCATCTGGGTGTATATAACAATCTCTCATATGACCTATAGGAGTAGTTATTGGTAGGCATTTACTCGAACCTACAGTGTCTATCAAGCTTTCAAGTTCGATTCGAATTTAATTTTTATCTTAGTTGTGATTTTGCTGTTTATAAAATATTTTTTGCGATATTTTTTACATTCAAAATACTACCTGTCATTCAAAATACTACAGTAGTTATTGCTGTTTATAAAGGTTTGACTACGCGATTATTATTCATTTGGTCTAATTCAAATTACGTAATTTTTTAGGATGTATTCGTATTTTATTCTCCTTATTTTCACTAAACTTATTAAAACTTATTTTAGTTGTAAATTGTATTTGGATAACCCTTATCAAAACTTTTTTTTGAAATGAACTAGTCTTAAACCCGTGCGATGCACGGATGGCTAATGTATTATAATAATTTTTTTTTTGTATTTGAACGTATGGTGATTTATTGATCTAAAAACTCTCATAAATGTTTAAAAAATTCAACAATATCATTTAAACATTTATCCCTAAAAATATTAATATATGAAACCGAAGTTCTTTAAATTAGAAAAGATGTAAATTTTTACCCAAAAATATTAATATATCTAAGCGAATTTCATAAAACCAGAAAAGATGTACATTATTACCATATAAGCATTGCAAAGAAAAGGATAATCAGACGATCATAACAATTCTGCCTAATACTCACAATTTTACGGAATTTATGACAATTGGATACGAAACTTGTGACAATTGGAGATGGAAAATAAAATAACTTCTTCTCAACGTCTCACAAACAGATTAGTCGTCAGATACCATAAACCCAAATTTTTTCATGCAAATAAACTAAAATCTGACCAAATAAAACAATCTCACAAACTTGACGACCCACAAGTTCTTAAAACACAGTAAAAAGAAGCATTAATGAACAATGATAGACAATGAGAGTGAGAAAATATAAATTCTGAAAAAATAAAAGAAATAATTCATAGTATCACAAATCTTTACAAATAAACTCACCACTGCAACCCGATTTCAGATCTGAAACCAAAAATTTAAACTAATAAAAATACAAACCTTGTTGTAACATATCTGATGAAATCGATCACGAAAACCCAATTTCTTTAAAGCAAAAACTCAAAATTTGGTTAAAAAGATCAATTGCATGTGTATTGTGATATAAATAGGAGAGTGGAATATGGAACTGACTATTAAAGAAACAAATTCTAGAAACAGATGAAGAACAATGATAAGAGGAAAAGAAATAACAGGTTTAAAAGGAAGAAAAAATTGAAACGCTTCACTCTGATATTTATTTTTTTTGTTTTTTTTTTGGAAAGGAAAAAAAAAAGGCAGAAAATGACACAACTCTGAGATTAAATTTTTTTTTTTTAATCAGGAAAAAACAGGATGTGGAGACATGTCCTTCTAGCTTCCTATTTTAAAACAATAGTATAGATTTATTTGAATAATTAGACTTCAAATAATTGAAAATAAGGTGAACAAAATCAACCCCTGATTTATACATATTCAAAATACAATCTCAACTTTTTATGAGCCCTTTCCCTAAATAATGCTGTCAAAAGATCTAATTCCACAATGTTGTCATTTTTTCCCACTTTACCGTCCATGTCACCGGTTTAATCTATTTTTTTATTTTTTTTTTACGGTTTTTATGAAAACCGCTACTTGAAGTGACGGTTTTAGGTATTTACAAAATAAAAAAAGTAATAAGAAAAAAAAACTTTCATACTCTTTTATTCTCTCTCACCTCACTAAACGGCTTCCCCAAAAACAAAAACAAAAACAAAAAAAATCTTCTTGTTCTCAATTCTCATATTGCTCAAACACACATGATGAAAAAACGTTCAAGTCCCCCACCCACCTGGTTCCGTTGCCGCTCGGAGCCACGCTTGACGCCGGAGAACTGCTACCTTCACCGTTTATGTAGTAAATTAGGGATGGAGGGTTACTATTTTTTACCTAATTTCAATTCAATTGAATTGTTAATTTAAGCCCTAATTTCGTTGTTATTTTTTCAATTCACTTGTTAATTTTCAAAATCCGTAATTATGAAATCTAGATCTAACAAATTAAGTTTTAAATATTTTTTTTTAAGTTTTGTTTGGTTTTATTGGAGTAATATCAATCTTAAATGGCCCTTTGTTTTCGTCTACTCCGTAAGTATTATCAATCTTGAAGTAGTATAGTTATGTGAAATTTGTTTTTGTTTTTTTGATTATTTGTTTGCTGAAAGAATCATATTGCTAGATCTATATTTTTTTTTTAAGAAAAAAAATTACGGCAGAAACCGCTACTTGAAGTAGCTGTTTTCAATTCTAAAAACCGCTACTTTAAGTAGCAGTCTTCAATTTTTGAAAACCGCCACTTTAAGTAGCGGTTTCTCACTGAACCGATAAAAAAAAAAAAAAAAAAAAAAAAAAAACCCCGATTTTTTTTCCACTTGCTCACGTGGTCTGTATTTAGGAAATTTATGAAAAAATGGTTGTAATTTGAGAATTGAGGCTTTTGACAACATTATTTAGAGAAAGGGCTCACTTTTTATAAATAAATTTAACTATTATCACTTAGTATTAAGGTCCAATATATAAATGGTCAATTTACACATGGTAAAAGTCATAATGTGTTTGAAAAAAGCACGGGGTAATACAAATTGCATTCTCTAACCGACAATCTTTACGTTTATGTTTGTTTTCTTGTGTTTCATTAGGTAAAACAATGCATTGTTCATTTACCAAGTAGAATTTGCATTCATTCTTGATGTGCATATATTGCCACACATTTGTACCAATCTAAAAAACCAACCATAATAAAACTTAGTCAAAAACCTATATAATCAAAATTTCGTGCACATATAAATTATCAAATAAAAGAATTTTATGTATCAATTGAATTTCAATAAAGCAAAAAAAAAAAAAAAAAAAAAAAAAAAAAAAAAAAAAAAAAAAAAAAAAAAAAGAGGAAAATTGCCATTATTTGGCCATGTACATCATCACCATTCACCACCCAAAGTAAAACGAACCAAAATAAAAGTTGCAAAAGTCCATTTTTGTTGTCATTTTGAGGTTTTTTTTTTCAAATATTGTCAAAAGACAAAATAAATTTTTTTAAATAAATTTTTATTTCTACCATGACTAATTATCTTTTTTCTTTTTTTTGTTTGGTCCTTTTTTTTCTTTTGTTTGGGTCAGATATTATGGGCCTGAAATTCGGTAATGGGCCAGGTGGGCCAATCTTAAGTGAGGTAGACCTCAACACTGGCACTTCGAAGAGACAAACAAAGTGGGCAAGCTTGAACGACGTCGTCACACTCCTTACACACACACAAATGCCGACACGGCAATAGCACCACCGTCGCGACACGTGTCCGACACATCTTACAACTCGGTGACGTCACTCTCCGGTCACTCACTGGGTCAACATACGCTGACTCAGCATCCTCCGCGTCTCCTCCACACCCTACCCCACTCCCTTCCTGTAATACGCCGCTACCATTTGCTGGGCCTGGGCCCACCATTGCTTGTTGTAATTGGGCCTGAAGAGTCGCTGCTTGGACTCCTTGGGCCCGAGCTTTGGCCTGCCATGCTTGGGCCTCTGCGCTTAATTGGCCCGCTCGGGCTTCCAACTCGGCGTTTCGTCTTGCTGCTTTTTCTACCTCCGCTTCTTTCTCTCTCATCCGTCGTGAAACGGCTTCTTCCGCTGCGCCTAGTAGCGCACGATAGTGCCTCTGCCTTTTGTCTGCTAACGTGCGCCTCAATTGGTCCCCCTGAATTTTTAATTGTAAAATATTAAAATAAATAAATAAGCAAATAAAATCAGTCCAAACCGTTTCCCAGTTGGTAAAAATTGAAAATAAAAAATAAAAAATCAAAATATAGGAAAATGTTTTTTTTAAAGGGAGAATTACCTGGGAATGGAGAAAGTAGGAGATTTCATCACTCTGTTGTTTAAATTGAAGGGCAAATTCTTCAGAAAGAAGAGACATAATTGTATTATTAGATTGTTGTTGTTGCTGCTGTTGTTGAATTTGTTGTTGCTGGTGTTGTTGAAGTTGATGATTTTGATCTCCAAATGATAATCTAAGACCAGTTGATACCACATTAGGTTGCTGTTGCTGTTGATGATTTTGTAGTTGACAAAGATCGATCAACTGATGATTCTGATTTTGTTGTTGTTGCTGCTGATTTTGGAGAGAGAAATTGAATGAATTAATTGTCGTCGTTGTTGTTGTTGCTGTTGTTGCTCCTGCAACCTCTCTGCTTCTTTTCCTTTGATTAACCCCCACTAAATAATCATCAAATCAAAAAAATTTAATTCACCCATTGATAAAAATACCAGGAACTTGATATTTTTGGGAAAAAAAAAAAAAACCAACCTCCATTATTATTAGTAAAAAGCATATGATTTTGATCAATGAATCCGCCTCCGCCGCCACCACCACCAGGTTGCTGTTGTAAAGAATAATCGTTGGTTCCTTGAACGTTTCTGCATTCATATATTCCGAAATCAATCATTTCATCAAATACTTGTAATTTTACTTTCATTCATAAATATCTAATAACAAGCAAAACAGAGAAAAAAGAAGAAGAAAAAACCTGTTTAAGAGGAGAATATTAGAATGGTATTGAGCTTGAACAGCCATAATAATAAAATAAAAAGAGGTATAAAAAGAGAAAGAAGAAAGAAACAATATGAATTTATGGGAGTTGATGAATGAAGATATAAAAAGAAAGAGAGAAGAGTATGGAGCAATGTGAGGGGATGAGGAGGAGAAGGGTGGTAAAACAAACACACAAATAAAGAGATGATAGAGAAAGTTAAGAGAGAGAAAGTTGTGGGAAATTAAGGCATACACAGAAGATGCATGAGATAGATGAGAGATGTAATGGATCAAATCAATAGACAAAAAAAAAAAAAAAAAAAAAAAAGAGAGAGAGAAATTTATTTTTATTATCAAAATAAATCAGGAGAACTAAGGCGGACTCTTCAATGCCTTTATTTATTTATTTATTTATTTATTTTTAAAGGGGCTGTAAATATTGGAAGGTAAAATTAAACGGGTTGATACGATGACATTTTGATGATGGACAAGGAGGAAAGAGATAGAGAGAATCATGGACATATGAGGTTGGGTTGGGTTTAAAAAGCAAAGAGATTGAATTTGTGGGTTTGTTTTCACCGACTTTAAATTGGGTGGGAAGTGTAAGTATTTCCTTATAATTATGATGCTGAAAGAGAGAAAGAGGGGTTGAAACGAATCAGTCCTTTTTAGAGAAGTTTGTAAAAAAAAGATGAGAGAGAAAATGAATTTAAAATAAAATTATGTTCTCGTGGGGGGGAAGATGGGTGGAACTGGAGATAGAAATGGCTTATCTTGAGGAGGGAGTCTCGTGTTTGGTTACCATTATTAAAGGGAAATTTTGATTAATGCGATTAACTTCTTACTTACTTTAAGTAGTAATCTATTTTTAAAATAATTATTTATTGTTGGTTTTTTTGAAAAAAAATTAGTCAATTGGTCTAATTTGGTAGGAGCGTGGGAACTGGGAAGGTAGACTGAGTTGCAGTCCTCCTCTGTTTGCATTTTCTCTATTTTCTAATTTGGTCCATCAATTATAAATTTAGGCCTTATTTGATTTACATAGAAATTAAATTCTCATAAAAAAAATTACATTTTATGGAAAGTTATTTTCCTAATAAAATTCCTAGGAATTTTCAAAATTTGTTTGGTTGGCAAGGTGAGAATTTAGAAATCTCATGAATTTTGATTGATTTAGAAGGGGCTAGGTAATTTACTTTCTTTGTTTTGTGGAAAGTTGAAATTCCCCTCATTTTTGTTTTTTTTTTTTGTCAACCAAACAACTCATCAATTTATCAAATCCCATGAATTTCCACTTCCCCCATTTTATATTGTCAACCAAACAAGACCTTAGATTACTTATTTATTTCATTAGATTACTTTGTGTACTGAAAATTTGAAATAGGTATATTATATTGTATACAACAAGGTTAATCATACTGTATAGCATAGAACTCACCATTTTACGAATATAGTTTTTGTTATGTTATTAAGGATTTAAGAGTAAAGCATAAATACAGTCCCTGAAGTTTCGTATAAAAGCCGTTTTAGTCCCTCTTTAACTTTTTTCATCAATTTAGTCCCTCAACCACCCACTTTAGTGTTTGTCAGCCAAAAGTTTAGGGACTTTGCTGACTAAGCAAAAGTTGAGGGACCTTGACTCATCAAAAAAAGTTTAGGGATGTTGATTCATCTAAATTTGCTTTTTTTTTTTTTTTATTTATTGTACCATAACTTATTATAGTTTGTTTTTTCTAAATTAAATGTCAAATTAAAACAAACACAAACTATCTGAATATGAGACCGTTAATTTTACGGAAAATCCAAAAGAATTCTCAACATCAAATTAACTTAATTTGTGACGTTTTTACCCTGGGATTTACTCCTGTCAAAAAAAAAAAAAAAAAAAAAAAAAAAAAAAAAAAAAAAACAAACAACTTTGGGATTTACAAATATAATCTAATTTGCCTTATATAAATGATGAGATTTTCGGATAAATCTCCTTCACATTCAATCAATTTTATAAATAAAGATGAATTCAATAAATCATAATACAAATTTGACAAAGAAGATTTAGTTGTTTCAAAAAAAAAAAAAAAAAAAAAAAAAAAAAGAAGATTTAGTAACAATGAAAATGAACTTCATACTCGTAAAGAGTAGGATCAAGTGTTGGATACTTGGATTATACGAGTATATATTTCATTAGATCATCCTCATCAAACACTAAGCAATGCAATTAAAGTAAAAAATTAATTAAAATTCGATTATGGTCACCTTTCACCTCGCCGCAACCGCAGCTCCCACCACTGCGCCACCTTCCCGCATCTCCATTCTCCACCACAACAGCCTCCACCTTCGCACACCCTAATTTGCGTAGTCGCATTCTCCACCGGTCCACATTTCCAACACAAGATAAATCAAAGGCTTGAATTAAAAGATCATTATTCCTGATGAATGTTGATGAGGTGCAAAGTAGGGGATTGTTTCCCCAAGTACAACATTTTTTTAATTTTTTTGGTGCTTTTATAAATACTATTGGATAATCTCACCAAAAAAAAAAAAAAAATACTATTGGATAAAATGCTTTTATAAATACTATTGGATAAAATGATTGTTGATGAAGTGATTCGATGAACGTATAAATGCATTTGATGCGTATAAATGCATTTTATAAATAGTATAGTGGTAGAACATTGGATAAAAGCATTTATTTGAACATTGGATTAAAGCATTTATTTCCAATGTTCAAAATCATCTCATTAAAATAATAAAGCTTGGAGAAGAAGATTACAAATTTTATCCTGAGATTTACTCCTGTCAAAAAAAAAAAAAAAAGAAAAAAAAGTTAAATTACAAATTCTGACATCAAGTCCCTAAATTTTTTGATGACTCAACATCCCTCAACTTTTTTTGATGAGTCAAGGTCCCTCAACTTTTGCTTAGTCAGCAAAGTCCCTAAACTTTTGGCTGACAAACACTAAAGTAGGTGGTTGAGGGACTAAATTGGTGAAAAAAGTTAAAGAGGGACTAAAACGGCTTTTATACGAAACTTCAGGGACTGTATTTATGCTTTACTCAAGGATTTAAGGGTAAACAAGTCTTTTAAATCCGATGTACGATGTACATATCAGTTTCTTTTTTATTTTTTTTAAACTGTAATTAGATAAGAGGAGTTATAAAGATAATAATTTTTTTTTATTATTATTATTTTTAATAGTTGGCGTTTCTGTTTCTTGACTTTGAACAAAAGTGTGCCACAAGAAAAATCAAGATAATTGAGAAGAAATAGGTGGTGTAGTGTATAATATGTATATCCATTGATAAATTAGTTATATGAAAATTTGGACTTTCAAATCTTGATGCACCTAATAATTTGCTCAAAGGTCACCAGGAAAAGGAGGAGTTAGTTTTAGGTGTATCCATATGAGATGTAAAGATAATAATTCAAAGAATGAATAATAAGTGGTAAACTTCCTCCATATTTGGGTGATTCTAGTTAGACAAATGAATAAGAGGTTATAGTAACTCGATGAATCCATAAACGATTTACCTCATAGTCCCTTTTTTGGGATTAATTGTCACTATTGTCAAATTGTAATGCCAAAAATTATAAATTATATTTTATTCACGGTAAACCTATTTAATATTTGAATGAGACAACTTTTAAAAATATGTTGTTTTATCATTTTGTTTAAAAATAATTTTCCTTTTTTAGCATATTGACATATAATAATGATTTTACAATCACAACTAACACTAGCATAATTCACACATGTACAGATTAATTCCTAATAGATTAATTGCATAAAATTATAATAATAGTAATTAATACAACACTTGAGATCAAATCTCGTCAATAAAAGGTTAGGAATGAAGAGGATAGTTGAGGAGCCCCTTAAGTTAGCCCCTTGCCAATAGCCTAAATTTAGTGGGGGAATTCGAATTTTTTGACCGTTGATAACTAGTCCTCTTCTTGTGGGGCCACACGGACGTGGAAGATCTGCGTGGCTGCGTAGGTGGCAATTCTATGAATGGCTAGATTGGCTACCTTATGCTTTGATTTTTGACATTTTTTTTTCTTCCTTATATATACAAGTAATTTAAAGTTTTAGTGTCAAAATCATTTGATTAGCCGCCCATAATTCTTGCTAATCTAGTGTGACGTAAAGCAAGTGATTGCCTTTGGTTCTAAAAAAGAGAGGAAACTGCTGGAAATTTGATTACAATCTAATAATTTTAATTAACCGTAATTAATTAATTAACTGTGATTAGAATCATATTATTACTTCTTATGACATTTCCAATCAAAAAGCAGAAAGAAATTGATGGATCTAGCCTCTAGGAAGATTAGATGGTGGAGGAGATGAATGAAAAATTAGGTCTGAAATTAAACACCCAACTTAATTTTTTAAAAATTAAATTTTTTTGGAGCTAAAAAGTCTAATGTCTTAGTCATGTATAGTATGATTTCGATCTCATTACGCGGTAAATTTGCATAAAGAAGGCTCAACAAACAAAGGATGATAAAGAAAGAAGATTGGTATTTGGTAATCGTATGAAGAAGAAGAAAATGTAGGGTGGGAATAAGACACAAAATCTTTTTTATGAGTTGGAAGTCAATACATGCTTTGGAAGATTGATTGCATGAGATTTTGATAACTTGTTACTTAAGTTGATTCAAGAATCATATGGGAAAAATAATCTATTGTATGAATTCTATGTTGTATGTTATGTTTAAGAACCTGTCAAGCTTAATTTCAATCTAAAATCAAATTGACTATACAACTATCAAGTGATCAAATTGTAACCTTTAAAACTTTATTTATTTTAATTAATACGGAATAATAATTTAAGTACGTAGTAAAATACAATACGATTAAGTTTCAAAGCAAGCTCTATACAAATTAAGTTTGTAATTAATAATATTTATAACAATAAAATTGCAATTATTATATGTATACTTTGTATTCTATAAACAATTTGTGATTATAAAGAACTAATGTCATATTACTGAAGAAAAAAAAAATTCTTATTAAGATATCAAGTGCTTTGAGTGAACAGTAATAAAACATAGAAGGGTTTCAGTTATATTGTTATAAATTGCAGGCATATTCTCCATGTGTCTATAGCCTTCTATATCTTTTATGTATCTAATTTAATCACGCCGACGAAAGACAACAAACTTCACATTAACTCATCTAATTTTTTTTATTTTCTAATTTAATTTTTCTAGTCATAATAAATTACCTTACGTATATAAGAATATATACTCACACATATATTGAGTAATTAGGTCATTTTGAAAGAAATTTTTTATGGAGGTAGTACCTACAATATCATGTGAGTAATTAAAAGAATCTTTTGTGACTAGAGTCTAGGAGAATTAATTGAAATATGTGACACATATAAAAAGATTAGCTTATAATTTGCGCTACCAATTACTGTTATGAATTAGTCATCTGGATTAGAAGAAAATAAAATATGAAGGGCAAAATCAGATTCACCAAATCCTTGTGAAATGGAGTGGTGCATCACACCATTAATTACGCTTCATGAAAATGAAAAGAGCGCTCCCACCCCACTCCCCACCAAAAAAATAAATTAAATTTAATATAAAAATATATTTGAATTAAATAAAAATAAATCAATGAAAGTTTAGTTGAGAAAGAAAGAAGGGATTGAATCTCTCAAGAAAAGTTAAGTTTGGTACTGGTGATCTTCCCAGAAATCAAGATGTATGTATTGGTAACTTTAATTAATGAAACTGACATACAAAGAAAACAAACCCACCAAACAGAACACAAGAAATCGATTTTTATACAGTACTATACTAACCAACAAAATTGATTAAAAATACA